ACAGTAGATTTAAATACTCAAATATTCTACAGGTCCAAATTAAGTTAGTGTTCCAAACATACTTTCAAGTTTCAACTATAAGAAGTAAATTAGAGAGAATGAAAGTCATACCTTCCTCCAAGGTCCTACACTTGGTATCGCAGATGGTGGACCTTCTACCTACAAAAACGCAGAGACTCATAGATTTAATTATGAAATATAGAACCCAAAAAAAATGTAGAGTGCATCTAAATAAAACAATTCAAATCCAAAATACCACTTCTAACATTTTTGCCAATGGTCTAATGCAGCTGAAAATAAAAAGCAAAATATATCTAAAGCAACAAGCATAGAAATTGATTGTCATCAATAATTTTCAGCCAGAATTTCAAAAGGAAGTTAACTTCTTATAAAAATCATCCAATAAAATACATGAACAAGGCACATCGCTCGCACTGAAAGAAAAAGGCAAAGATCTAAGAAGGTATTGTTAGAAACTGCAGCAGAAAATAGGGATGGCTGTAGTGTCAAAAAATATGGCATTGAATAAGGAAGCCCGGTAATTAACTGTGTTGCTGGGCTAAGATCTGTAATAAAGGTTTCAAAAATTGAAAGAGCTTCAAAATTGAAAGAATATCATTATCACAACACACTCAACAATTTAACCCCAAAAGGAATATAGAGTCTAATTCAGTGTGCTGTCATTTATTCACCTCTGGAAACTTCTCAAAATTCTGAGTATCCAGCTCTCCAGTGACTGTGGGTTTATATGCAGCTTCCATTTCATACAATTTGTCCCATTGGATGCCCCTGAACCATGGGTGTGCCTGAAACATTTGATAACTTAGAATAGAACACAAACGAGGTTAAACCAAGAGTATAAACATAGTGAAGTAATATTGCAATGTTCTACAATCACAAAGCAGATAGCATATATCAAGTTGCAGTGTGGGATTACGGTCTGCATATCCTTATAAATGGGCATCAGGTGAAACATGATATCTTGTAGCTAAACAAAGTGAGTGAAAATAATCTTTCTGAAGTTTCCTCTGGTAATTTTAGGAATGCCATTATTTATTGGAAAGATTATTACCTTTAATTCTTCAACTCCTCTGGTTCCAAGCCTTGTTTCAACATCACAGAGCAAATGACAAATCAAATCTTTAGCCTCATCTGATATTTTTGGTTCCTCGGGGAATTTCAGGCATGTTCTCCAATTGATAATCTAATACAAGACAGAAACATCACTATCATTCATGACAGATGCTGATGATAAAATTACAAACCAGAACTTAGGTACCACCTTGCGACACGTGATCCGTGGATCATCTGAACAGAAGGGAGGATAGCCTATCAGCATCTCATACATGATGGCTCCCAGGGACCACCAATCACATTCCATTCCATATCCTTTCTTTAGCAAGACTTCAGGTGCCATATAATCAAGAGTTCCAACAGTCGAATAAGCCTACATAATATAGATGTCAGGTAATAGTTGCAACAAGTAAAAATGACCACTCAAGATAAAAGCCAAGTGTAAGATTCTGGAACTCCAAAAACATTTTAGAAAAAAGAAAGGCATGGCTTAATGATCCCACAGTTGCACATAAGATATTAGATGGGGTTAAAAAATGATAAAAAGAAAATACCAATGCACGGCGATTACGTTTCCACTGCTGTAATTTTTCTTTTGGCATCAACCAATGTCCTTCAGCTTCACAAGTAGGTTCCTGGTTTATAATACTTTCATCCTCCAATAAAATTGTTGAATACTTATCCTCAAGGGGCTTGCACAAGCCAAAATCTGAAAGCTTCAAATGGCCATTTTTGTCTAGTATCAGGTTATCTGGTTTAATGTCCCTACAAAGCAGAGAAACTTCAGAGGTGAAAATATGAAGAAAATGGATATCGTTAGTAGCCAAATATTTCAAAGTTTTAATTATTTAACCATCTGTAACTAGGGGGTTTGGATCAAACGCTTATTATAACAAAGATGTCGACCATTGAGCCTAGACAAAATATTCAGATTTGATATAAACCAGCAGTCAGGCAATAGCCAGGCCCATGCAAAACTTCCTTTTTTTTTAATGATATATTCTTTATTTTATTCTTCCTGAAGTAAAAAATCATCCATCTATCCTAACCATGTCAAAGAACTTCATCCTATTGAGACTCAATTATATATCTATATAAAAGAACTTCAGCCTGCAACACCTAAGGCTGTGGAATTAAACCAATCACAGTATTTAACAGGCTGACTGGATGGGTCAAAGAAGCTGGGCCAAAAGTTGACCCTTAACCAAACATACACACAGTTTCAAGCTCTTTTGTATGCCCAAATTTTTATCAACTCTTTGTAAGAAGGGTGATCCAGCATCCTCCATCGACCTTTCCACAGTAAAAATACATGGTAATTATGGAAACCTTCATAATAAGATGATATATAATGTTGTACAATTGTCATACCGATGGACATAGCTGTGTTGGTGAATTGAGTGAATAGCCAGGATGCTCTCTGCTATGTAAAAACGTGCAACATCTTCAGAAAGAATATCTTCCCTCATTAGCAATGTCATAATGTCACCACCAGGTAAATACTCCATGATAAGGTATAAGAAATCAGAATCTTGAAAAGAGTAGAAAAGCTTTACAATGCACCGACTATCAACCTCTGCAAGTAAGTTCCTCTCAGACCGAACATGCTCAACCTTAATTAAAGATAAAAAATAATAATAAATATGAATGATTATCATGTGCATAAAGAAAGCATACAGGTGTATTTCAGTATTCAAATTTAATTATAAATAGGCATAGTTTCTCGGCTCAAATTTATTGATTTTAATTTTATAATGACGAAAATCCACCAAGGAACCGTCATCAACTTTTATTTATCCAACGCAAATTTCACTGATGATATTTGCCAGCAAATCCTTAGGTGAAATGCAGCTATTGACTTGAACAACAAAATAATAGGAAGAAACTAAGTTGACAGCATTATTTCTGTACAGAAATGAATTATTGTTTAATGGATTGACAGCAGAACAAGCAATCTGTATTAACATTAGCAAAAGCTTTACTGACACATGATACTAGCGGATTGCAAATAACTTAAACTTATGCCTGAATTCCCTAAGAGAGGAGGGGATAATGCAGGCTGCAGGAACAAAACTATCCAGATAAACTGACATTATTTGAATGTAGACAGCACTTCTACAATAGTGTTGAACTCACCTGTCCACGGCTAAGCATCTCTGATTTCTTCAATTTTTTCATGGCAAAAATCTCTCCAGTGCCTTTAGCACGACATAACCTGACCTGCGTTCATTAAACACCGTTATAGACAACAGTCATACAACACAGTACATATCAAATTCCTTCTTCCTCCATATATATGATAAAAGAAGCATAACAATGACCTATTAAAGAAAGTACTGTGTATGAGCTTGTCATGGCAAAGAACTAGTCAAGGAAATATACCTCACCAAATGCACCTTTCCCAATTAAAGTAAATTGCTCAAAGTCATCAATTCCAATTTTACGCCTCTGCAACCTCATATACTCAGTTTCTCTCCGTTCCAAATTCCTCAGCATCTCTTCCTGTTCCTCACTGGATACTGCAGCTTGTTGTGCTCTCATTTGAACTGCTCTACGCCTAACACAGTGACAGATAAAAATTTATCATGACATATTTCACGACCAGTCTTAACCATAGAAATACATCAAATTAATGTTCTAGGCTTCTAGCCTTGATTAAACACTAAGCAACCAAAATTGAACCCAGACTGAAGTTCCATATCTACTCCAAATTGAACATCTGATATATTAAATAAATTTAGCTCTCTCCATCACACAAAAGATCACATGACTTCAAATTTGATAATCCAATCTGATGAATTAATTGTATTCTATAAAAGCAAACAATTAATGGATATAAGAAATTAGATTTGAACCTCTCTTTGCGATCTTGCAATCCTTGAAGATAATTCTTATAATGGTTTTCTATAAACTGCTTGGCGGCGGCAGCTTTCTGTCTAGTGACCGGAGAAGATACAGACACATCCGGATCCAAATCGAAGCCGCGAGTAGCCTTCATGTTTAAGGCGCCTAACCTCACCGTATCATCACGACCGTCCATTTTGGCGGAAATCAGATCAGTTCTCAATCCTCGTATAAAACTAAAAGAGGCGAATCAAAGAGACATTTGGAGAAGATTGTGAGTCAGAGTTTCGAGGAGAGATCTAGGAGGGTATGTCAGTGTTTGTGAAAAAAAATGAGAGAGAAATGAAGTGGCATACAGATATTAGTCGCGTTCATATTTATATGGCACGCAAAGCTGTCTTATCTACTGTCTGGTTTAAGTTTGTTGGCTTCTATTTGGGATTTTATTAGTCATTTCTTTTCTTTTTTGTTTATAGGGAATGGAGTGTGATCGACGCCATCGATTTTCTCGCATGAACTGGAATCTTTGAAGAACCCTTTATAAAATCCCTTAAATCATTTTGGACTTTTACAAAGTGAATGGAGTTGAGTTGAGTTGGTGTCGGCGGAGATCTATGCAAACAAGTCTGAGCTGTCTTCTCTGCACGATCGGATCACCCACGAGGAAACTACAGTAACACGTGGCATGTCATATGAGCTTAACTGGTCTTGTAAGTTCCAAAAGTGTGAAACAAGTCATGATTAAATTAATTGACCGGTGGTCTTTGCGTGGTCCACGGTTCAATAAGGTTGGAATCACCCATGGTATGCCACGTAATGTTCTTTCTAGATTGTGGCTTGTAATTAATATATATTGCTGTAAACAGAGTAATCATCTTTAATGCGATGCGACACCATTTGCAAGAGCTACTCTTTCCTTTAAACCATGATTAATTACATTGATTATTGAGAGCAATTATAGTGATACAAATATTCAACATGAGTGTATTTACAGTAGCATTAGTTAGATATTTACAGTAATTTACCTTTGTCTAATAATGTCATCAAATTTCTCCACAATCAAGAGCAATAAAATGCAACTTTTAGACCGAAATGAGACGTCTCCAAACTCGTCTGTCTACTAATGCGACTTGAATTAAGTTGAGAATGTGCAAACGCCTTTCTGCAAGACGCCAAATGGTAACTAAGAAGGCCAAACCTGAAAAGGAACCTGAAATGAAAAACAGGCCAGCGAACGGCTGAGGACCTAAACGTGTACTATCAACTATGTCAGTGGTAGAGGAGCATTTATATGAGGCCAACATGTCTTCTTGTAATTGCTTAATTTCTCCGCTCTCTGTTGCTCTGAGGATTGCCTCCGAAATGTCAAACGACAAAGCAGAACCCTTTGGAAACACCTGATGTGTTACCTCATGAAGATCAGTTTACTTGTATGCAATTAACAGCTACTTAATAGATATACAAATAGGACGAGAATCAATAGTTGAATACTCACAAATCCAAATCCACCAAGATTTAGGGTTGGCCCTGCTGTTGTGTAGCCCTTGCAAAATTTTGCAAGGAAAACTTTTGCGTGTGGAACAACGAAGAAAGCGGCTGCAATATCTCCCCTCTCAAAGTCAGTTGGGTAATCATTTATCGAATTAATCTTCCTCACATTCTCTGCCTTGAACTTTAAAACATTTGTTAAATATTTTACAATAAACGAATTACCATCGCATCCTATAACGGCATTAGTTTTCTGAAGTGTCTCAATATCAGGGATAGATGGTTGCATGCGTGCCATGGTCAAACTTGAGGTGAGATTTGCAGTAAAACCTGCTGATGCAATCAGAATTACAAACAGCCATGGTGCAAGCACAAATCGAGACCAATTCTTCCGAAGTGGTTCCCCTGTACGCATTCAAATGATCAACATTCAAGATCAAGACTAAACTGAAGCTTGGATTGCATTCATCAATAATCATGAAAAGTACTATTGCGTGCCAGGCATAAGCTTAAGTGAACTATTAAAATATCACGAAAGTATCAATTTGTAAATCCAACTTTAGTTGAACTTACTTTGTGCAAAGAATATAACGGTGACAGAAAACCAAAGCATTGATCCAAACCCCTTGAGCTCAAGGTTGTCTTCACGTTCAATTAACCAGATAACGAAACCTATGAACAGGTGCATTCCTGCCATTAGCAGCCACATTTTTAATGTAAAGGTCTTCATGAAGAGCCATGTGTCCTTTATCTTTTCTGGTTTTACAGGGACTACCATCTGAAGTCCGGATTCCACGTATGGCTGTGTAAACTCCGCAAAAGGATATCGATCTGCCATTATATCTATATCCCCAACAGCTGCATCCAGGCCCTATTTTTTATTTTAAAAAGCCATACACAAATTAAATGTTACACAAGGGACAATCACTGTGCATATGGAAATTGTATTACAAATTAACAGTTCACTGGTATTATATAACTGATAGGAGCAATATTTTCAGCTTTATTGACCTATGGAATTATGTCATAGTGATTAAATTAGTCCAAAATAAGAGCAAAACTGACCTTGTAATAGACTTGATCCACCATTTCATCATATGAACCATTGAAGGGAACAAATTCATAATTCAAATGGTAAGGTAGACGCTTCACTGCTGCTTCAAACACCTTAACAGAAAATCCAGAGATAGATGGTCCACTGCGGTTTTGATCATAACTTACACTGACAAACTGATTAAAGGCACCTTTGGCTGGAACCCCTATTCTCAATGGTTTGTCCTCTTCGCCTGAATTCCAACCCTTTGGAATTGTTTGCATTCTTCCAGGCCAATAAATTGGGCCCAACTCTATCACAGAATTGTTGCCAGAGCTGATCCCTGAGAGCCCAAGCGATGGTGACCAGAAAGCTATCTCTCTGTAGCTTTTACCCACCACATTAATAATTTGAAATGTCAGATTTTGCGCTAATTTTCCATTTTCGAATCTAATCCTTCCGCTCAGACCTTCAAAGTTGGTGGAGAGTATGTCTTTTGATAATGTTTTTGATATAACTTTTGCTTGTGATTTCTGCATGGCTTTAGCAATAGTCCAAGTTGCATCATAAGCTCGGAGGGCAAAGATACTTGGGTTAGAATACTCTTCTTCTTTGGGGTATTTTATCTCGTACATTCTCCGAAACCGAGTTTTAAAATGTCTAACGGACTTGCTAGAATCAATAAATTTGGTTCTGAAACCAAGTACACCTTGCATATTGTTAATATCAGACGAATCAAGAGAATCAATTAGGCTTGCAATCTCATCCGGAACAATCCATACATAACCTTTTTCCATCATACCCATTTTCTTTGCCTCCTGAAAAATCAGGATAGCTAACTCCAATGATGAGTGAACTATTATAAAGATTTTATTACTCTTGCTTCTCATCTTGCTTAGTTTTTCTCTTATTGCAGCTTTTGGGTTTGAGAGAGAAGAAAAGGAAGGAAAAGCTAAGTGCTGTTCAACTTGAGAGTCAACAACCCGAAGTGAATCGGAGAGGGAAGTTATAAATTCTGAATGAGGAGAAAAAGGATGGGTGTTTTCATGAATTGCTGTTACTTTTCGCCATTTGAAGTAGCCCACGATGGCAGCGATGCATTGCATGTGCAAGCTGATGTCGTTAGAGATTTGGACAAAAGACGCCAATTGTTCTAGCATCGGTTGTGGGTTTATGGCAGGTGAAGTTAAGAATATGTAGCAGATGTTGTTGGCGGATTTATCAATGACGGAGAGTAGAGCTGCTTCTGGCACTTCCATTGTTCCAATGATGGCTTCCACTCGATTGTTGTCCATAAGTTGTATTGCTGCAATGGATATTGAAAGACATCAACTTAGTGCAACAACTGTCTACAGGATGGGATTCATATTGGCCTGTTCGGTTCATTTAAACATGAGATTCTGATTGTAATGTTTCGGGTAGAATAAGGTATAATAAGTGAATCCTTAAAATAATTCAACATATTAGATGAGGTTCAATTCAATGGGTTGTCTGTTAATGACCTAGCTAATTGAATAAAACAAAACATGATATGACAGTAAAAAATACTCACTCCGTTTCAATATATATATCGCTTTAGACTTATTACTTTTTTTCTGAAATAAATGTCGTTTGACAAAAAAGTTCAACAACCCTCTCTCTTTTTCATTTTATGACCACTGTCTCCTCTCTTTTTCTTTTTCTCTGACCCCTCGTCTCCCCCCTCCCCCTCTCTCTCTCTCTCTCTCTCTTTCTGTTTTTGTGTACCCTTTATTTCGAGCAAATTCAAAATCCCTCTTGTCTCAATTTTGAATTTGTCTCCGTGGCTTAAATTGACACCAATCTTAGCTCATTATAGAGAACTAAAAACACAACCCATGTTAGCCTCTTCTACATCTCTCTTTTGTTCATTTGTGAGGTTTTTCTGGCTCACATGCGTATTAACTTCCTCAGCTATTTCATCAACTTCATTCGTAACTTCCAATGTCGGAAGAATATTCAAATCAATTTCTCCAAGCACATATCTTCTACTATGATATTGTTCACCCATCGTGATTAGTGATAAGAGCTTGAAAATACACATTTACTTAGTGGTTTATGAGGATTATTTGTGAGAAATTAAGCTTAATTTGGTAAAGTTACTTGATATTTTTATAATTGTTTTTTATGAGATCACATATGTGTTTGAGNGATGGTGACCCCCGCCTCAAGGAGCTTGAAGACAGAGCTCAGGAATTATATTGTGCTTCTGAAAATACCTTGGTCTTGGTGGAGAAACTTGGCCAACTTGTTGCTATCTGCATGGGGTAAGTTTGGAAATCCTTCTTAATTTGCTTCATGTTTGAATCTTTTGTTTTTCTCGTTGGATATTCAGGGTATCGAATTTGTTTAATTTTTAGAGGAACTTTCCCGTTGGAGCAAGGTGATCTCCACAAGCGCTGGAAATTAGTTAGCAGGAGATTGAGAAGATACCATAAGTGTATAGTGATACCTATTGGCAGTCTAACTACGGGACTGTGCAGGCATCGAGCAGTTTTATTCAAGGTAAACATAACACCTTTCTTTTTTCCTATACATATTATTTTTCTTTTGTAAGCTTACAGCACCTGAAAACTATTACTGAAAGAGGAGATGGGGAATGAAGACAAAGAAGAAGAGAGGAGATGGGGAATGAAGACGAAGAAAAAGAGTTTTGTTTATAATTTTTTTCTTTTTTAAAGTATAATGGACGTCTGCAAAGTTATAATTAATTGATGGTCAGGATTGTGTCACGTTATTCGATGCATAAATTTGGTGTACTACTTTCGGTGACTATATTATTTTCTTATGGTGTAATGAGAGAATGAGTAATACGATGTAATGAGAGGGAGAATACTGTAAAACCAAAAAAATTTCCACCAAACTTTGAGAGGGAAGAGTAATTTTAAATTTGATAATTTGTCAATTTTTTAACCATTAAATAGTAAATAAGGGCCGGCAAATTAGGGGAGAAAAAATTTGAGTCAGCTTTTGTTAATGTAAAAGAGTTGTAACAAATTATAGATGAGGATTGGTTTACATAAAAAGATATTTTCTTATAAGAGAAAAGTATGCCATCATTAATTTATTAAAAATTGTGTAATTTGCTAAAACGACAGATATATTTTGAAATGGAGGGAGTAAAATGTAACAAACAGTAAAATAGTGTAGAAGTCATTTGTTAATATGACAAAATGATAGATGTGATGTCTCAAACAACTCCCAAATTGTGAATTAAGTTAAAATTATCAAAATTTTAATTTGAGTAGTATTGTTGACCTGGTTAGCATGCAAGTTAAATTTTCAAATGTTTGAACTTTTAGAGGAAAAAAAATAAAATAAATAAAGGCATCTATATGACTTGCATAATCAGAAAGGATCTACTTATTAAGTTCTGGATGACGAATAAATTAATTAGGCGTATAACTTAGTCGACTAGTTGAATATCTCAGATCTCTCTCTTGATACTTTACTTACATGTAATTAATAACTGTAAACAATTTTTCAGTTATTAATAAACAGTATACAGAGTATAGTTATTAACTGAAATATTAGTTATCGTTATGAATATCTGTCTTCTGGACTTTGAGATGTAAATTAATTAACCTAGCCTTATGTTAGAATGCAAATTAATGAATCATTTCTACTTCCTAATATGGTTAGAGAGTAGAACAAAGAAAAACTTTACCACCAGAAACAGCTCCACGTATGTTCCCAAGTGAATCTTTCAAGTGCAAACCCAGCTTCTCTGAGCACGCCGTTGAGCGATGGAAATCTGTGACAGCCATTTCCATGCCTATTTTCTGCTCCTTCCCCACTCGAGAGCTTAAGTCAATAACACCACCGATACGCCCTATCACCCTGGCATCTGTCTGTTCCGGTTCTGGACATTTCGCCTCAGCTAATTTTAATGATCCATTCAATAACAATAACAAAAGCAATAAAAAAGAGAGAACCTCCGACAGGTTTGGAATTCTCATCTTCTTCATAAATTAATTTTCTCCCTTGAGGGAAGGGAAATAAAAGGATTCAGTTATGCAGGCTGAAGAACGAAGTACTTGACTCTCTTTAAAAACACCCTCTCCAGAAATATATATATATATATTCAGCATTTGCAACTGAGTGGAAATTTCATGTCTTTGGAAATGTCTCCTGGCTAACTATAGATAGTACTAATTCAACCATAAAATACTGTCTCTGATAATATTCTTCATTCCTCACTACTTCACAATTTTATTAATTTATCACAGTAAAATACCATCTTTTCTTTCTAGTTAAGTTAGTGGCAGCCTGCAGTCACCTTTTATATTTTAATTTTGGCCGAACGACTGCCACCTACTCAAAGTTTGCCATAAAGACAAACAGATACTTTCCTGTTAGCGATTTTCATCTGCCAAAGGACAATGTGTAATTTCATGTACAGCTGCAAAATTTTTAAATTTTAAATATTGTTTTCGTTTAAGAATTTGACACGTGTCCCAACATTGACTTTGGCCAAATACTAGAGTAAATGAAAAGCCAAAACGTTTGTTGCCTCTTTCATTGTTGGTCTCTGAAGGAGTTTAAACATATCAACGGGAAAACATCGACGACGACCAGTGAAACGGAAACCGACGACAGTGGAGGATGAGTTAAAACCGGCGACAGTGGCTGAGTGAGTTTCATTGAACGGAAACGAACCCCGACTGACCCTCGCATTTATCTGGTTGATCAATGGAAGTCTGCTTTCTTGTCACTGGGTCATCCAGGGTACCCTCAGGACTCTGATGTCGTGTTCAACCATTTCCAGTTATGTTTACTTCTGATGTGTTTCGTTTTCTTTTTTAATATTTAGTTCTTATATTTTCTGCTTGCTGAAACTATGTTTTGCTTTATTTCTTCAGAGAAGAGATGTTTATGGTGCTTGGGAGCAATACCTCAGTTTGGAGCATTCTGACAATGCCCCCAAGAAGGCTTATTCTGTAAATCAAGTAACATAATGTTATCGAAAACTTCATATGTCCGAGCAATTATCAAGAACCCATAAACCATTTCGGTTTATGATTCAACCAATTGCTACTTGCTCATGGTGTATTACTTTCTCATAAATTGAAGTCACATGACATACTAGAATAGATAATATGAAATTCATAATTCACATCCTTAATTGCATTGGGAACTAGATTAGATGTTTAGTTGTTTTTGAGGTTTTTGGTTTGTTTGTTTGGTTGTATAGAAAATAAAATTTTATATAGAACTTTCGAATCTAATTTCTAAACTCAGTTGATGGAGGAGTCTACAAGGTGGGCATGGAAGTGAAATTGCAATGAAGTGTGATTGGCATGATTTACGGTTTGGATTAAATATAAATAGTTATAACTTACTATTATTCTTTGCAATTTATGATTTATCAATGAAAATTATTGCATTTATCTGACAATTGGAAGTTTAATAAGTTGTGCATTTGATCAATTGCTAATATGTGAACACCTTTGCTTCTGCAGTGAATAGTGGAGAATCTTAATGTTGCTGGATTTAAGCACTTTATGTTTTGAAGTATTAGAATCTTAATGTTGCTGGATGTAAGCACTTCAACTCAGCTTATTGATGAGGATGGTACATACAATGTTGCTGGGTTTAATTGTTTATTAGAATCTTAATGTTGCTGAGTTTAATTGCTTATTAGAATCTTAATGTTGTTGGATTTAAGCACTTCAACTCAACTTATTGATGAGGATGGTATATTCAATGTTGCTGGGTTTAATTGTTTATTATAATCTCAATGTTGTTGGGTTTAATTGTTTATTCTCAAACCAAATGCAATTTGAATGTGAATTCGAAATGGTTGAAGCATGCTCAGATATAAGTTAGCTGATCTGTTCCTGATAGCATAGTAGTTGTGTTCTTATAAAAACGGAATGACTTTTCGTGTATGATATTTGTGCACCATCTCTTTTAATTTTTGGTTATTTTTACTTCTTGTGATATCTCTTTCCTATTTTTCTGTTTTGTTTGTTTGTTAATTATTATTGGTATGTGCTCTGTGTCATGTTACTCACCATGTCCATGTCCCAGCAGCTGTTGGTGCTGCTCCGGGAAGTCACGTGTCAAAGCTGCTGCAATTTTACATGCTGTTTCAAGTCGTCAACTTATAAGTGTAAAAAGGTGAATCTTTGTTCTAATTTTTCCTGGGGTTCTGGGCTGCCTGGGGCATTTTTTTTTTTATTATCTGGACTGCCCAGATTTGTTTTGTTGTGTCGCTGTGTACAATTAAGCTATGAATTAATTAACTGTTAATCATCATTACACTTTAATTAGCACTTTCTGTAATGCTAAATGCATTGTACATGGAATATTATTGATTGATTTTTGTCTCATTTTTAAATACAATATTATGAATCATAAATAAGAATTGTCTTATTCTAGTATTCTCTATCCAATTTTAGTTTGCTTGCTTTAATTTGAGCTTTCATTTGCTAATTCATACTTCATAATTTGTTAATTATTATTTGTTTGTTCAATATCTTGACTTTTATCTACTATAGCTATATTTCTAATTTTTTATTATCTTTTTGTTTTGTTATTGAAAACCATAGTGTATCTCTTTGCCTGTTTACACTTTTTCGGAAATCAGAATGGCGAAGCATGGAGAAAATTGTCGAAGATATAACTTAGCAAATACAATTGAATATTTACACAACATATAGGAGCCGTAACAAAAGCATCTTGGAAATTGCTTTTGCATTTTTTGTATATCTTCTTCCCTGGAAACAATTTTTGTTTATATGTAGCTCAGTAAGAATTTTATTACAAATTATGTTCTTTTGTATGAATGATTCATGAAGAATTTCAGCCACAATAAGCAATTTTATTTTGCTGTATTCTCCGTATATATTCACTTTAAAAATTTGCTAGCAAAATAGGGACAAAATGGTCATTTGCTGTGTCTATTTTTTACAAACTCATAAGGACAAACTGGTCATTTCTCTAATTATAATAACTTGACGGCATAACTGTAATTTACCATAATGATTTGGGTATTTATGTAATTGAATGAGTTGATTAATCATGAATTAATAAAAAACTAAATATCAAACTTTCAAGTACACTCCAATCTTTTTCATTATTGTTGTCCTTTAGCAAACATAAATTGTTAACAGTATATGATGGAAAATATCTATTTATTATTTTTAAGCCTTTTGAGTATCAATTTGTCTTTGAAGCAAACTTTGGGTAGGTGAAAGTCGTTTCCCCCTTTAATTTTTACCGTAGCATGAAAATGTCAATGCCAACTGAACAAGAAGAGTTCAATAACCTTATAGTTGAATCTGCGTGTTACCAAGAAAATAAGAATAATATGGTGTAGTTTATTTAAACCATGATTATGTACAATAATCATGTCCAATTAACCATATATATCACCTTATTACATATCACATAAGTCTTAACAATAATTTTTTGCTTACAACTAACTCATACAAATGGACAAAATTTACATAAAATTCATGTAAAATGACTATTTTACCTTTTATTTTTTGTTTATTTGTATTGATTTAATTATAAGCATAAGATTACTCTAAGCCTAAACCACCACCATTATTGCCTCGCCCCTCAACGACAAGAATAACAGATTGGTCACAGGGCCTTCTGATTGTGGGCCGGGTTAGGAATGTCTAAGGCCCAGCTGGGAAAGTAACTAGGTACTAGGTGGACGACCGTGGCTCACTTAACGCAGTATTATCTGGTCAGATTTCCATGGCGCTTCACTCTTGCGACCGTTAACTGCTTCACCAAAAGCTACTAAAAAAGAAACCAAAAACAATGTGCGAAAACTAACTTCTCTAACGCAGTTGCAGACTACTTGGAACATGACCATGGCTTCCATTTCCAGACCATCGCCGTTTCTGTATCGTCACTCAAACCCTACATCACTAAATTCCTCTCCCGTGGTCTTATCTTTTCCATTTTATCGAACGACGTCGCTTCACCTACGTGTCTCTGCCCTAAATTCCGATGGACATAAAATTGGGAGCCAAGAATCGCTCGGTTCTGGTTTGCTGAGGAAACCGGTAATTTCTCCATCGAGGAAGGACTTGGGTAGAAATTCAGAAGACGATGAGGTTAGCGAGGAGGAGAGTGAAGAGGAGAAAGAATGGGTTGATTGGGAGGACAAGATTTTGCAGGACACGGTCCCTCTCGTTAGCTTCGTCAGGATGATTCTTCACTCTGGAAAGTAAGTAGTAAGGCTAAAGTTGAATAATTTACATTTGGTTATTGATTGTAATTGTTTTGGTAATAATTTTTCAGTGCAAATTGGGATTTTTTATTGCAGATACGAAAGTGGAAGTAGATTAAGCCCAGAGCACGAGAGAACGATTCTTGATAAATTGCTTCCATATCATCCGGAATTTCAAAAGAAGATCGGTTCTGGAATTGACTACATTACAGTATGTGATAGGCTTCTCCTTTATTTCTCGTTTTAGCAGTGTTGTAATTTATATATACCACATTTTCTGTATATTGTTATGGTATATGAACCTACTAATCACATTGCGAATAGCTTTGTTTTCCCCTTAGCATGACCTGTATGTTGTGGAACTTGCTTACTTTGAACTATCAATTCAAGTTTATATCTAGTAGTGATGATCTTTGTAATCAAAGTGTCTATAGAGATATCTGTTGTTGATAAAAGTGAGCTCTGTAGGTGAACTGTTTGCCCACCAACTAATGAGATTGAGAATTGTATTTGAACTGGTCACTTGAGCACATTTTTTATTTTACATGCACCGCCATATTATAGTTGTGCCTGTGGCTTCCTAATTCTTTATTACTAATAATGCCCCGTGGAATTATTCCTAGTCAGTATCATGGGAGTACTTACCTCATTTGTTGTGTCCCTTAGCATGCAGCAAAATATATAATTAGTATTGCTAATGTCCAGTATGTGGTTGAAATTTTTTTTTCATCCGTTTGTCCTATGTTATTTCTTCAGTCACTGTTTTTAGAAACATGAATAATATTATCAAAAAATATGTAGTAATTCTCTCTCTCTCTGTGTATCGGTGTGGCCAAAACATGCCGAGAAGTAATCTTGAGGATGCAAGATTGTTCCTGCAATCTCCAATAATAGAGTATTGCAGCTTGCGAGTATCACCGAATCTTCAGGGCAGCATTACACTTGCTTTAGAATATAAATTTTTTTGTCTGATTAAAATGATAGCTTCTTTGTCATAATTTCATCGAGGATTGTGTATTCTGATACTTATCCACCAATTGTATTGGATTTTATATTTTTATTTTTATTTTTTTGTTGACAGATTGGATATCACCCTGACTTTGAGGGTTCACATTGTTTGTTCATTGTTCGAAAGATGGAGAATTGTTGATTTTTCATATGGAAATGCATAAGGGCCTGATCAAAAAAACTATCCTCTATATGCAGATAGTTTTATTCTCAGACATTTCCGGCAGCACAGGCGGAGTGGAGACGGTTTTACTGTCAACTTGCTCACTACTTTGTGTTGTTAGTTATTATTGTTTGAAGCATTTCATTTTATGAATTGAATTTATATTGTACAAAGTAGGAGCAAAGTTCAAATGTTTAAAAATGAATTGCTGAGAAGTTTCTAGCAATTTTATTTCCAGAAGCTGGAAGTGAACGCTGCAAAATGACTTGGCTGGGAATTGGTCTGTTTTTTTTAATACATACTTATACCCTTAATTCATAATGGTTTATATTGGCACATTTTATTTTCTGGATCCTGGGTGGGAATGAGCTCTCTGTGCCTTTCTTGCTCCTTTTCTTACTCTCATGTTTGGTTAAATTGGCCTGCCTCTAACTTTTCTTCTTATTTTGCGTTTATGAGAAAATGCAATTGTTGATAGATTCTCCCACTGGTAGTTTTGCTTTAAAATGAAATAAGCAAATAACATTTGTTATTTACACCAATCATTTTATGATTTCAATTTAATTCTTGATTGGGACAAAGATGGTAGCTGTTGGATTGACTCTAACTAACGATTTGAACTAATATTCTAGCTTATACTACAAATGAACTGTACGGATCTTTCATGATCATTTCTGGTTAGAAACCTTCAGAATGAGTTGGTATCATTTAGTTGGCTGCAGTAGAGACACTCGGATCTCTTGTGTTATTCTATCCATTGATCAACTGCCCAAACCTAATGGTCCTAACTAGTAATTATTATATGTGAATTTAGATTGAGATTTGTAAACAAATATGTATTATTGCAGATCATGTACCAAATTAAAAGGAAGATAAGTCAATTTCTGTGCCATGCTTTGGACTTAGCTCCACTCTCAGTAGTAAATACTTTTACTTCACTCTTTGCTCTAATTGGAAATGGGAAAATGCAAATCATTTTAAAATTGCTTGAAATGCATCAAGAAAGGATTTAATTTAAAGCATCTTCTTCATACTTTCTGAGATTCAAAGGAACGACGTTACCACAAGTCTCCTTAGAACGTATACGACGATGATTGAGCTTTTCAGTCGTTTTTTTCTTTATCACCAGGGCCAATTTTGTAAAAACTGCGCTTAGCAGACTACATTCATAATTTTAAATCCCTTGTTTGACGAAAAATTGACTAGATCCACAGTCCACAATTCTGTGGATCAAGATATTCCATGATTTACTTGTTTCCAGGATACGAGACAAGGATATGATATATCAAGTAATATCAATATACAACAATAACAACATAGAATATCTCAATGGTATTCCAAGGATCTTTGACAAAGTCCATATTTGCCTAAGCTGTCTAGTTGAGAGATGGTAGCAATGCATCCACCATCACCACCATATCAATGCTTAATTAAGAATTTATGCCTGCTCTAAGTTTCATATTCTTATTGGTGTTTGAAATTTAAAAATAGACAGCTGAAAAGGAAAAAAGTAAATAAAAGAAAAAAGGATGCAGAGATGTTAACGCCCACTGTTTGAGTAAGTCTTCTTTTTAATTAATCATGGAGTGAATGAGTGGTTTGATATGAATTCTTAGATATATTACTTAAAAAGTCTAAATTCGAATCTTTCCTCAATTGTTAATAAAAGTGATCATTAAAACTTTTATCTAATCAGTAATTTCAAGATATCAGAGATTAATCGAATATGCTTAAATTGGTCCGAGAGCATCTCATGAAAAAAAAAAAAAAAAGTTCTCTTTTGGATATTCCAAGCCAATCCAAGGTCATTTATTGGATTTAGCACGTGTGACGGTGTGAGAAGCAACGTAACAGGCATTTGTCGGGGTGTGTCGGAAGAATGTGGTGCCTAGCAAACCAAGCCCACTTATTGTTTGGTTTCTGCGGCATTATAGCCTGACACGTACGCTCAAATTCCATGTGCTCCCACCCACTAAAGTCTCTGATTCCCTGTTTCTGAATATCATTTGGATTCTTTTTTTAATGAACTCCGTTTCTACATGGAAAAAAAAAACTCCGATGAGCGCAATTTAGGTAAAGGGTCATCCAATCTATTAATGGGGCCATGCGAACAAAATAAAGTTGTTAGCCATTGCAGACGATGAACAACACTTGTACACTTTCTTTGCTTCTAATCTATGAGTGCCGGAGTGATGATATCAAATTAAAAAAGAGAAAAAAATATGTGAAATAATTGTTACCTAAGTTATACAATTTTTTATGATGACTAAGAATGCACACCATGTGTCTGAGTAATTGACAATTGTTTGTCTTGCTTCCATAAAAAGGTTAAGTACGATCTGGGTTGATGGACTGATGGAAGGAGCTCAATTCTATTTCTACAAGCAAATAACCCCACTTCATTCTCATCCTCATTTCAATTATCTACTTAACAAGGTTAAACAGAATAGGCTGACTTTTTTTTTTTTGCCCTTTTTGGTCAGTGAAATAGACTACCTTCATATCCTTCAGCCTTCCTTGAGTTCAATTCATTGGATCTTTACATTTTCTCTAATATTATTTAAGCTATCACTCTCAGAATTTTTTAATCCTGATTCTTCGCATGAAGGATGGAGTTCATAGCAACCACCAAGTCTAATGTACTGCACCGTCTTTTATTATTTTAAAATTTATAATATGACTTGTTGAATTGTAGATGTACCCCAAGGGAAACCCTTCCCTTCCGACCTGATTATGACATTCAATTTCTTCAGCTTTCTTGTGTTGGACATTTTTAAGCAATGAACAGTGAGTAAATTCATTTCATCAAGAGACAAAGAGCTTGACATGTGAAAACATATAATGAAAAAATGATATTTGAAAAAACTTCATTTGCTGAATGAAAACATCTGTTGCTTACATGGATAACAAAGCCAAAAAAATGTACGTGAAGAGCAGGATGTTGTTTTTTGTGAAACTTTGACTAAAAATTGGAGAATCCTTATCCTCTTACTCTTCACCGATGGAAGTTAGGTGAGACTATGTACTACTCTGTCACTCTATGTCGACTTTTCCAAAGCAAACCCATTATGAAATTCTGATTAATCTTCTCCAATCAAGCAATAAAATTTGAGAAAATTGACCTGCGTGAGGAAGATATTTATTATAGAATTGCACGCAACCAATTATTCTATATGCACAAAACGACAAATTAAATATATGTATATAATATTTCAACGTTCTGTTTTAAGTGAGCGTGGGGCTGTCGGTTTTGTCACGGTTCTAGCTGGACCGACAAAATATTACTGGATAGGGGCTTTTATCTTAATTAGACCATTTGCAACCACAAAGTTGGTGTAAGTTTCACGTAAAATTAAAATAATTTTCGGTATTTTACTATTACATCCCAAACCTATTACATCAAATATTACACTAAAAAAATATTTATTTTAATATTCTCTTTCTTTATTAATCTATTTTATTAATTATTTATATATATATTAATTAAATATTAAGAATGATATTTTTATTAAATAATAATTACTTTAAAAATTATATTATTATTTAATAAAATAAACATTATATTTAATATAAAAAAATTACATATAATATAAAATACTACAAAAAAAAAACAGCACAAAAGTAAAATTTTATATTGATAGTAGTTTAATTTTTCGAATTAGTATATTCTTCTCACAAATGATCAATTAATGCATTTCGAAGAGCACGGTGAATATCTATATAATTGATTTGTCTATGTCGAGCAAGAACATTTTGAAATCGGACATTTTCATCTACAATAATTTCAATTTCGGGAGTTGACGCTTCCATCTGATTCTTAATCGATACATCAACATTACAATCATTTTTTTAATTATATAATTATTATGATTTTATTATTATAAATATTAATATAAATAATAATTAAATTAACATAAATACAAATAAAAAAAATAAAAAAATAAAATATATTTTATAGTATATAAACAATACCACACCAAATTTGTATAAGTGAACAGTATTACGCCAAATTTGACATAATATTGTTCACTTACACAAATTTAGTGCAGTATTTGGCGTTAGGTTGGAGCATGTTTTTCACAACAGGTGTTTTGGAGTTGGTTGGAGATGCCCTTGTATTTTAATTTTATAAATAAGTGTATATAATTCATGGCAATTAGTGGATTATCTAATTGAATGTCAACGAAAATTCAGATTTTAATATGGTGGATGTAAAAGATGTTTTAACTTTTATGTTCTTTTACTTGGATCAACGCATGTTAAGGCACACTCTAGTGTTGTTTTGTAAAATTATTTCAAAGTCCTTATCAGTTCTTCACATTAATAACCAAAATGAAGTATAATTTGAGTTTACTCAATAGATATTATTAGATAAGATAAATTTTATTTGTTTAATATCAGGCGATAATCCATGTTCAATAAGTCAAAACTGGAACATTCTGTGCTCAACTTTTGCAAAATTACGATCGTAATTGTTTTCAAACCCAACTTAACACTCAAACGTCTTATTCACAAATTGCAGTCAATGTATTAGGTGTTGACATAATAAATTTTGTAGAATGTCTTCCTGTAGTGATAGTTAGGCCGGCAGTGTCGGATTATTTGTTAAATTTTAAAGGCCAAAAGACTTATACTTAAAGTTTGTCGATGAAGTGGTACTTAAAAAGTTTGGAAATAATAAATATATACATTCTATTATGTATTGTTAGTAATTTCTATTTGTTAATAGTAAAAAGACTAAAATACCTTGAAAGTTTGATATTTTAGTTTTTTATGAATTTAAAAATTTTTAAAAAACCCCCTAGGTTTGCTAATTTAACTAAACACCCTCATATATAAAAAGTTTGTTAAATAATAAAAACACCCCTACCACCTGCAGTGCCAGATTCCGGCTACCACTTGCAGTGCCAGATTTCAACCACCACCGTCAGAATCTGATCGAAAATTGCGTTACGACACAGATCCGATCTGGCCCTTTT